TAATCGCCCGTTGGAAAGGGTCACACTTTTTGTCTCCCTGACGACTACGCATTAGGCAAGTGCCTCAGCAACATAATCGTGCAAGGAACAGCAACAGTTAGCTCAGAGCCGTCAATAGTCTATCATCCGATCCCTGAGTTGTTGCATTATTTAAATTACGCACGTGCAGTCTCCGATTTTATACTAATATATTTAGCATTTTTTTTGTGGTACGTTAAATGATAGATTGCGCATGCGTAACCGATTAAAGCGTAAAATGTGCGCATGTGCAACAAGCTTTTACATCCCACAAGCAAAAAACCAAATGTTTTAGCTTAAATTCGCTGATTGCAAGTAGGGCATGTTTGTCCATTTTTAAGTGGGAGCGCAACTATGCTATTACTTATAAATAGCAGTTACTTTCATCCTGCTCATCAGCACTACACTGATGAGGCCCGTAAGGCCGAAACGGTACCGTATATGTATATATATATATATATATATATATATATATATATATATATATATATATATATATATATATATATATATATATATATATATATATATATATATATATATATATATATATATATATATATATAGGCCGAAGCCGTTTTGTCAATTAAATGACGAAGAAATGTGTATTTTTAATTTTTTTCCAAATAATCACCTATGAAAATACACTAAGACAATTCGGCGAATAATTGTTATATATATATATATATATATATATATATATATATATATATATATATATATATATATATATATATATATATATATATATATAATAATAATAATAATAATAATTTAATAATTTATAAAGCGCTTTTTACATGTAATGATCAAAAGCGCTGCATTACAATATAACTAATGTTAAAAGCGTATTAAAATGTTGAAATGTTAACTTTAATATAAACTAAATACTAAAAGCTAGTTTAAAAAGATGAGTCTTAAGACAAGTTTTAAAAACGTTTATTGACGAAATGTCACGAATTTCTTTCGGAAGTTCATTCCAAAGTTTCGGAGCTGCCATAGTGAAAGATCGGTCGCCAAATGACCGTAAAAATTTACCCTTAGGGAACTCTAGCATTATGCTATCATTAGAGCGTAAAAGGTAGTTTCCTTCCACTTTAACAACGAGTAGATCTACTATGTACTTTGGAGCCATTCCATGTAAAGCTTTAAAAGTAAGCAATAGCAGTTTAAAATGGATCCTGAACTTCACAGGTAACCAGTGTAGTTCACGTAATATAGGTGTAATGTGATCGTATTTTCGTGTTGAAGTCACTAATCTTGCAGCGGCGTTTTGAACCCTCTGCAACTTAATCAGTTCAGTATTTGGTAAACCATACAGGAGACCATTACAATAATCTAGTCGACTTGTAACAAAGGCGTGTATAACAGTCAACAGATTTTCCCGAGATAAAAACTTGCTGATGCGTTTGATGTTGTGAAGCCAATAGAATGCGGCACCACATGTCTTTGTTATATGACATGACATTTTTAAATTTGAATCAAGCCAAACTCCTAGATCACGAGCTATTGGTACAGGAAGGACATCAGCATTCCCGACACGTACATGGCATGGGTTAAGTTTGTGCAGTTGCTGCTTAGATCCAATTATTAACAGTTCAGTTTTACCGTCATTTAGTTTCAATTTATCTTGAATCATCCATTTCCGAAGATCGTTGACACAGCTTTCCATTACCGAGATCGCTTCACATTGATCGCATGGGTAGTCAGGTTTAAATGACACATACAACTGAGTGTCATCAGCAAAACCATGTAAATCC